TATTAGTGACGTATAGTGGTTAGTAGTGTTAGTTTAGTGTAGGTATTACTGGTTAGTATTAGTGAAGAATAGTAGTTAGTAGTGTTAGTTTAGTGTAGGTATTATTAGTAAGTATTAGTGAAGTATAGGTATTATTGGTTAATATTAGTGAAGTATAGTGGTTAATAGTTTTAGTTTAGTGTAGGTATTATTGGTTAGTATTAGTGAAGTGTAGCGGTTAGTAGTGTTAGTTTAGTGTAGGTATTATTGTTTAGTATTAGTGAAGAATGGTAGTTAGTAGTGTTATTAATAGTGTAGGTATTGTTGGTTAGTATTAGTGAAGTATAGCAGTTAGTAGTGTTAGTTTAGTGTAGGTATTGTTGGTTAGTATTAGTGAAGTATAGCGGTTAGTAGTGTTAGTTTAGTGTAGGTATTATTGGTTAGTATTAGTGAAGTATAGTGGTTAGTAGTGTTAGTTTAGTGTAGGTATTACTGGTTAGTATTAGTGAAATATATATGTATTATTGGTTAGTATTAGTGAAGTGTAGGTATTATTCGTTAATATTACTGAAGTATATTGTTTAATTGTTTTAGTTTAGTGTAGGTATTATTGGTTAGTATTAGTGAAGAATAGTAGTTAGTAGTGTTAGTTTAGTGTAGGTATTATTAGTAAGTATTAGTGAAGTATAGGTATTATTGGTTAATATTAGTGAAGTATAGTGGTTAATAGTTTTAGTTTAGTGTAGGTATTATTGGTTAGTATTAGTGAAGTGTAGCTGTTAGTAGTGTTAGTTTAGTGTAGGTATTATTGTTTAGTATTAGTGAAGAATAGTAGTTAGTAGTGTTTGTTTAGTGTAGGTATTATTGGTTAGTATTACTAAAGTATAGCGATTAGTAGTTTAGTTTAGTGTAGGTATTATTGGATTATATTAATGAAGTGTAGCGATTAGTAGTGTTAGTTTAGTGCAGGTATTACTGGTTAGTATTAGTGAAGTATAGGTATTATTGGTTAATATCAGTGAAGTATAGTGGTTAATAGTTTTAGTTTAGTGTAGGTATTATTGGTTAGTATTAGTGAAGAATAGTAGTTAGTAGTGTTAGTTTAGTGTAGGTATTATTAGTTAGTATTAGTGAAGTATACGTACTATTGGTTAATATTAGTGAAGTATAGTGGTTAATAGTTTTAGTTTAGTGTAGGTATTATTGGTTAGTATTAGTGAAGTATAGTGGTTAGTAGTGTTATTTTAGTGTAGGTATTACTGGTTAGTATTAGTGAAGTATAGCGATTGGTAGTGTTAGTTTAGTGTGTGTATTATTGGTTAGTATTAGTGAAGTGTAGTGGTTAGTAGTGTTAGTTTAGTGTAAGTATTATTGGTTAGTATTAGTGAAGTATAGCGATTAGTAGTGTTAATTTAGTGTAGATATTATTGGTTAGTATTAGTTAAGTATAGCAGTAAATAGTATTAGTTTAGTGTAGGTATTATTGGTAAGTATTAGAGAAGTATAGCAGTTAGTAGTGTTAGGTTAGTGTAGATATTATTGGTTAGTATTAGTTAAGTATAGCGGTTAATAGTGTTAGTTTAGTGTAGGTATTTTTGGTTACTATTAGTGAAGTGTAGCAGTTAATAATTTTAGTTAAGTGTAGTTATAATTGATTAGTATTTGGTAAATGTAGTGATTAGTAGTGTTAATTTTGTGTAGTGGCTATATTATTAATATTACAGAAGTTACAATACACTATAGGACACTGATGGCTAACCGTGGCACACCGCCTTTTGGCTGAGCATTGGGGCACGTGGAGTTCACACAGGTATGTAGTGCCAAGCTTTCATTGATCTAAATAAACATAATTTGTTTATCAGATAAAACCTTAATTATAATACTGATTCACTTGATACTACACGGGAAGTGTGTTTATTAAGTAATTATTCAGTTGAGTGAACAGAGGAGATATTTGTAATGTGTAGACAGAGATTAGAGATATTAACCATGCAGCACGTTTATTGTTGGCTGTTAAATCATCCTGTATTCTGTACCTAACATAGGTTATTGTATCCATCGAACCTCAAATTGTGTCCTGGCACAGCTTATTGTATCCATCAAACCTCAAATTGTGTCCACACTGATACATACACACACACACACACACACACACACACACACACTGACTCAAGCAGACACACACACACACTGGGAACAGGACAAGAAATACAGGATGCACCAGATAGAATAGATAAAAAGTAAAATAATATAAAAATACAAAAAGGTACCAAATATAAGTGATAAAAAGTCTATTTAGTCTATAATGTCTTCAAGTGTTCAGGTGATGTCTTAGGTGTAGCTCAAAGTGTCAGCAGCATATATAAAAAGAGCAGAAACAGAAGGAACCTATAGTGCAATATTGTAGAAACAATGGCTACAGACAGCACTGAGGTAAAAAGTGCCAACTCACATTTGTAAGAGCTATGACCAGCTCCAAGTAAAACTGCGTGCAGTGGTATTTAAACTCCCCACTTTTAGGATATCCCTCTGACGGTAGTTGCAATGTAGATCATATACAATAAAATAAAATAAAAAGGCCCATAGTGCTCTCTATATAAGTAAGTACTTAAGGAAATATGAAATATACTAACAATTTTAAGAGACTGCTCTATCTGCCAAGCATGGGTGGAACAATCCCCACCTAGGATTCTTTGAATGATGAATCTGGTGTTCAAGATGAAGAGATATGCCAGGTATAAAAAAGAAACCAGAGGCTAGCAAACTTGCCCTGGTTTCTGCAGACAATTCTACCACATGAGACCACATGCATATCCTTCGCCACATCCAACGTATCATAGAACTGGTTGGGAAAATGTGATTAGCACAAAAAAAACCAAAAAGCTGTCAATTGGTACAACAGCAAGTGCAGCATAGTTTTGACGTACGTGAATAAAATTCCAAAAAATTAAGTGTCCCAGTTGATTGTGTCTACGGTGCACGCAAGAGGACCCCGTCAAATGAACCAAATATTCACGTTGAAGATCCTTGAACTCGAAAATAGAGACGGCATTGTCATAACTGAAAAGAGCGCATCATCTTCTTTATTTAAAATCCAAATATTAAAATGGTTGCAAAAACATACAAATATATGACAGGCAGTAAAAATATAGTAAAACTTACTTTTTATAATTTTTTTACTGCCTGCCATAATTGTGTATGTGTTTTGTAACCACTTCAAGTTGAAGAATTTCAATAAAGACGATGATGTGCAATTTTTAATTATTACGATGCAGTCTACATTTTTGAGTTCGAGAATTTTCCTCCTGAATATTTGAAAAATGTGGTAGAGTATCTTTAGTGACAAATGTTTGGATACAGCCTTATAAAGGTTTTATGTAACAGGACAGGAATACGCATAACAATGAATGCATGCTTACGCAGTTTCGAGTTCATGTTTTAGAGTCAGTAAAACTATGTGTGGGTAGAAGGCCAGAAAAAAAAATGTATAACATGTATTTCTGGTCTCTGGAGCTATATATTATCTCTGGTAATCTATGAATCATACAGGACCAAGCTAATTAGACCATTTGAAAGCAGGCAAAAGAAGCCTTTTTCCTTCCACCAAAACAAAGATTAAAATGTCTGAGCCTCGGTGAATCATTTTGTCTGTAGATATTGTGCAACTCAAAAGTTCTATGATGTGAAATAGCGATGGGCTAGAAAAGTGTTGGATGCAAAGTTCAGGTGGAGGACAAAGAAAAAACCCAATCTGGTGAGCAATGGAAAAATACTTTTGTTTTTGCTGATCGGAGCTTTACTAACTTCAAAATTCTGGAGACAAAATACAAGCCCCTTAGCCAGTGATATCGAACTCCCCAGCTGGTAGTCATGTCCGAGAATAGTCCCCTACTGGGAGGTGATTGATGCAGCAATTGTGGAGGTTTTTGGGCTTGGGGTTTCATTTCAACCGGAGTTTATATTGCTCCATTTGTCTCTCATTTTTATTTCCCAGTATAAAATGTTCCTCACAAAGTACTTACTTAATGTGGCAAAAGTTCTTGTTCCTTTTTATTGGTGGTCTGCCAACTTGTCCACTCTCCAGCAGTGGATATTGGTTGAGAAAATTTACAGCATGGAAGTGCTAACTGCTTCTTTATTTGGTCGTTCTTCTAAATCTGCTCGTTGTGCATTTATTAGTCCTTATCTTTTGGGTTGGTGTGGGGTAGAGACCTAGCCACGTTGGGAAGGGTTTACCTTTTCAGTCTGCTATGTTCATGATATTTTACTAGGGATGGGGGTGCGAGGCTGGTCTCCCTTAGGTCATTTGTCTTTTCTATTTTCTTTCTTTTTTTTGTCAATCACTTTTTATTTTTTTTATTATCAATGCTTGTTCGGTAAGACAATAAACAGTAGTATATCATATACATCGATACAAAGTATAACCTTAGATAATATTCAAGATAGCAATTTGTATGGGGTCATGAGAACCAATCATTAATATTTAAATGCAAGAAGATTCTACTGTGGTGTGAGGACGGCTTGAGTTGGGAACCATGCAGTTATGAGTGGAACTACGATAGGTATGGGAAGATTCAGAGATATCCTTAGCTATAGTTACATGAGCAGGCTGGCTGCGGGGTAACCCCACCCGTGAGGGTCGCGGGTGGGGGCGGGAAAGAGTAGATGTGGAGCAGGACACCTACCAAAATGGGCTATGCCCATGTCATCAGAGCTCCAGTGTAGGAGGATACATTTAGTGTGGGAAGCTTAAAACGAAAAGGTGTGAACTCAAATAGCTAACTAAACATATATACTCGAACCGCTTTTAAAACATTGCAACTCAAGTCTCGGGTGTCTGGGCCAAATGATTTGAGGGTAGAAAAGTGACAATTTGAGATGGGTCCCAAACATGAGTCGCCGGCTGTCCATCAGATTCAGTCGATGGAATGGATAGGCCCAGAGCCCTAAGAAGGGTCGAAGATTCAGCATGCTTGGAAATCTTATATACCGTTCCGCTATGTGTGACCACAGGGAACCTTGTCGACATCCATCCATCCTCTCAATTGGCTTGTAACAGGATTCAAAGACCACCTCCACTGTAGGGTGGACCGGGTGAGGTCTTGATAGAATGTAAGCTCAGAGCCTTCAAAGGTAAGAGGTGTCTTGCCCTTCAGTGCTGTTAGTAGAATTCTTTTATCTTGGGCTAGAGAGCAGCGGACGATGACGTCGCGTATTGCAGAGGTAGGCGCTCTTACAGATTTTGGGAGACGATACGTTCCGTCCAAGGAAAACCTCTTGGCCTGGCTTGGTTGTAAGACTGAAGCTATGAGACGCCTTACATAGTGTGGGAGCTCTTCTGGTGTGACAGCGTCAGGTATGCCTCTGACTTTTAAGTGGTTGTGTCTAGATCTGTCGCTCAGTGTAGTATAGAGCATGATGACAGTCTCTGTTTAAGGGCCTCAATATCCTCTTCAGAGGTCTTCACCCGATCAGTGACTGCATTTCTCCCTTAACTCCTTAAGGACCAAACTTCTGGAATAAAAGGGAATCATGACATGTCACACGTCATGTGTCCTTAAGGGGTTAAGGAGTGCCACATCTGACGCAAGCAACTTCTTTATCTCCACTAAAAGGTTGGTTGTGGAAGTCTTGTTATGTTACAGGTGCTGACCCACCTTGTGTGTCTGTTGGTGCGCATTCTTGTCAGCTCAGAACATGGGAGTGACTCAGGCGGCGTGAGTCCCTGCCGGGCGTCTGATACAGCACGGCTCTCCTACGCCACCATTGATACAGCGCGGCTCCCCTGTGCTGGCTGTGATTGCTGCTGGAGAAGGACCCCGATGTCCAACGACCCTGTGGGTATGTCAGGCTACCGCTTCTGAGACCTCCGTCCCATGGCTGTGTTACGATCGGGTTGTGGAGCGTAAGGCTCAGGCACCCCGGAGAGCACAAGGTTGCCCAGCAGTCCAGCCCTGTTGAGGTCCAGGGGTGGGTGGTGGGCCCTAGATCTGCGTTTTAGCAGTTTCGCCTTTGCAGCTTGAAAAAACGTATTGCGTATTGCGGTGAAGTATTCTGCGGTGAATTCTATGGGGTAGCCATGTGGATGGACAGAGTGGCCCCCAAAATTCAAGTTTTAAAGCGAGTTTTCTAAAGGAACGATATGAAATGGCATCTGCTCCAGCTCAAGGTCAGGCTCTCCCCTCCTTCTATTTTCTATTCCACTTCCCCTCTTTCTCGTTTTCCTCTTCTTTTGGTCCCCACTTTTTCTTTGGGACTGAGGCATCCCTTTCTCCTTGTGTGCCAAATATATACTACATTCTTTGGGAGTACTCATTCTTTTTTGCAATGATTTGTTCCTTTTGTTTTGACTGCTTGTTGAATCTTACTGGAAAATTTTGATAAATAAAGATAAGAAAAAGAAGAACATAGGGAAGAGCAATGCAACAGTTAAATGTTTTTCTGGATGAACTCAATGAGGGTATAATAAAATACATTAAACACAATTGATTTTGATTTTTGAGCTTGGTTTAAATGGTGATGTTACAATGTCTATTGGTAAAGGCTGGGGGATATTATCAGGTGAATAGATGAAAGACAAGTTGTCCTGAGAAGAGTAATAATTCTAGGGGAGAGGGGAAAGACAGTCTGGAAAAAGACAGTGGAAAATTGCTTTGTACCTGTATCCGGTGTGTTTGACAATAAGTTTAACATTCTACGTTTCTAACAGGAGTGTTAGAAAGGAGGTAAAGATTGGGAGTAAAATAGGAGAACAAAATACCAGGAATTTAAAAAAACGAGACTAGGAGAGAAGACTGGGGGAGATAGATAATGAGATTTGGAAAAAAAAGCATAGAAAAAAGGGATTCGGAGGAAATATTCAGAAAAGGCTAAGGAAGGTGATGAAAGGAAGGACCGATGGACGTGGCAGTAAGGAGAGTGCCTAGAAGGGTATCAGCTACACCTCACTGATGAGACCTAAAGAAGGCTGAAATGATGGCATGGGGGCTGCTGTATCAAATGAGCAAAAACTATTTTGAGACCTGAGCAGGGATTAACCGAAGGACCTAAGCTTCTGCCCATTGTCAGAGTTCTTATATCCTCTGTTTTTGTCGCTATACAAGACACAGTGACAAAGTACTAAATATTACACATGTTTATATCATGGAACACCAGCTATAATAAGCAGTTAGAGCTAATCTCAGAGAGAATCACTATCAAATAGGCATCTTATTATGATTGTTAAGGAAATCAGATATTAAAATATCTAGTAATGATAGATTAAGTATACATTTTAAGTATTTAAGTATTAGTGCAAACATTTCACTAAAGTGAATGAAAATAAAATGTTATTTTGTAAAACATGTTTAACGTAATTATAAATATATATATTTTTAAAATGTTATTATTATTCACAAAGTCATGGACTCGGATACAGAATACATACTAGGAGGGGAATTACAATGTGTTTCAGTTATAAAAGCAATAACCATTTTTATGATTTTACTGAAGGTTAAGTCTGTTGCTAGTGACTTTATGTCAATCCTGGCTGAATCCCACTTCATTCTAGAACTTGTCATATTTATCCTTGGGGTCACCTTTGTCTATACAGTTTAATATTACAGAGAAGTTTAGAAACGCACTATTGCACAGCTGCCACTAGATGGCGTAATATCACAATACTTTGCAGACAGTGTTCACAGCCCTGCCCTATAGTCCAGTCCTTTGTTTATTTTGTTTTCTAATTAACGAACGTTGTTATTGTCTCAAACATCGATGTTCATGACAGAAAAACTAATCTACTACCACACCGTTTGCTTTATTGATGGGTTTAATATTATTTGCATACAACAATATTTTAATCACCAAAGCCACTTCATCTGAATAGAGAGGGTTTGGTGTATAGACTTTGTCCCTGCAGTCAGGTAATGTGGAATGTTACTGTTTCATGATGTTTACATAAACATTCCTCTACTGCAGTGCTTCCCGAAACCGTCCTCACGCTCCACCTAACAGTCCAGGATTTAGGGATTACCCAGTTGTGTCTAACATGTTTTTAGAAAAAAAACAAAAACACCATAGACACAATGGGTTATCCCTAAATCCTGGACTGGTGATGGGGGAAGGAGTGGTTTGGGTACCACTGCTCTATTGGCTATCAGACTCTAGGTACTTCATCATTGAAGACCTTTGAAAATCAAAGGTCTTTATATTCGAAGCAGCATGACGCAGCATGATGCCTCCGAATGCCATGAATGACTCTAATGGAGGTGTATTGGAGTTAATGCTTCTCTATGATTGGAGTCAATGCATCCAATTGTTGCCCATATACCAGGGCCCCACAATGCATATATAAAAGAAGCATTGGATTGAATTAAAATAATCTGTCAGGATTATCTGAGAAGAGGTGCAGAGGCTGTCTGGCAGAGTCCATCTCAATCCCGGATTACAGATGAGTTTAAATGCTTTTTTTTTGGCCTTTTTTAATTTAAGGGGAGGCTGGAGGAGGGGGGGGGGGGATTCTGAATTTAAAATCCAAAAAATAAAACACACTAAGGTCAAAAGAAATGCTGTACATAATAAAATTAATTTATCTGCTCCAAAATATGTAACTACACCTCTGTCAGCGTCATTGTCCAGCCGGAACAAGAGTTGCAGGTTGGCTAATTTCAATCCTGTGCAGCAAGACAGCCAATGGTGGTATGTCCCCCCCTCTACCCATGCTACCCATGTCCTCAGTCTACCCTCCCTGACCTCCCTCCACCTCCCGCGAGGCGAGTGACATGAGCAGAGTGGGCCTCAGCCGAGAACTAGGTCTTGTCACACTGCATGGAGGTACATTTGAGCTTTTTTTTATTTATTTCAGAGGCGGAGGGGGGGGGAGGGATTTGGGGGGGGGCATGCTAGAAGGAGTAACTACAACAACAAAAAACAGGGTTTTCTTAAATCACTGTTCTTTGGTTGGAGTAACTCTTTAACAAATAGGAAATAGACAGATACTCAGAGCAAGACAACAGTGAAGGAATGACTGGAGGGTTTGAAGAGCGGCTTAGGAAGGACTGGTTACATAAAGAAAGTGGATGGATGGAGTTAAGTTCTACAACCGCAAGGATCTGCTATTAATTTCATTGTATCTGAGATGCATTTGCCTTTCATTAAATAAATCCGTGTGTGTGAAAGGTTAATAAGAGTCTCTTTGAATTTAACCTGAAATATTTTGTGAAATAGGATCACAATTGACCCGTCTCTTACTTTTTGGTTACTGTACACCTGTCCTTTATTTTGGCTTTCCCTGGGTAAATAGGAAGTGACATCAGGTAGATTATTCACTAAAAGTGTAATGATACTGAATTATGGAATTGCAAAACATGGCTAAAATAATCCAGTCATTGCTACACCTCAGTTGAAGAATTTTACGAATGAGCTATTTTAGCCCACGATTTGCAATTTGGTGTTTAATTCGCCACAACTGACTGCTTAGTGAATTACATCCTCCATGTTTTTCCTGTTCAGGGAGAAGCAGATAGTTTGAGTGTTGCATATTTTTAGATTTAAAACAGACACAGACAGCGAGTCACTCCTTATGTGGTGATTTGTTGCCATCGGTGTTATTTTAATAATGTTTATGTTTCTAGGTATTGTTGCATGGTTTTAGAATGTGTATGTTTATCTAACAATAAGTGCTATACTATTTTGTAAGTTATATTGTAACTATGTATCATGCACATATGTATAAATAATTAAAAAGACAAAGAAAGTATAACAGCCTTATTGGAGTATATACGTATATAGTACTTTAAGATTCGTTTTGTTAGTACCATATAAAGGGGGGAAGGGGAAGTGGAATGTCAATGTATCTTGGGAATTTAGTTATATTGTTTATTTTGGTTTAAAACTTAAAATTGGTGTGAATTCACACTTTGTAACAAAACCGTGTCAGTCCAACAGCTCCTACATTTAAATTATTTCTAGTAACAGTTATTCGGCCTTCCTGCAGCTCAAATACCACTTTAATCCCTACCCCCCACACACCCCACCATCCCTCCTGGCCCATGTTGATTGGCAGCAACTCAACTTTATTTTATGCAACAGACAGACAATTATGAGAGTTACAATCCAACAACATTTGAGGGGGAGGGGTGGAGGGAGAGGGGGCTGAAGTATGCTATCCCTGTCCTAACCCAAAGAGCTGACACACATTTTGTTGGGTAGCAGATTCCCAGCAATTTTAGATAAAGAGACTGCTGCATAGGCCTCCCAACTGTCTCAATTTCAGTGGGACAGCTTCTATTTTGGGGTCCTGAGCTACAGTCCAGAGTAGTTCCCTGATTTCCCAATTTTGGGGACACCAGGGAACTGACCAGACAAAACACAGCTCGAGTGCGTCATTAGATGTGCTCACACTATGCTGAGGGCACTAGGACACGTCACGGAGCGATATAATACTGCTCTCTGCATGGGCTGCCCTTAGTGAACCAGCCTACGTGATTGGCAGTCAGACTGACGTCAGACCTATTATCCAGGCAGACCAGCCCCTTCTCTGGGTGGGTCTTTCCTCTGTGGACTGCACCAGTGACACTGTTCGCCCCCTATTGCCCTTCCCATCGGCGTCCCGCTTTACAGTACTCCGATGTTAGGGCTATGGCTGCTATTTGTTAAAGATATTGTACATTGTGTCTGTTTCTACTGCAGTTAAAACTGATACACAGTAAAAGGACTATATTAGGGAGTCTAACAGCCTATTTTAGTGGGGAGGTGGTGCGCTATACGACCATCATTTCCCTGGCAAGCGAAAACACATATCTCTGTTTGCAGACTGAAAAAAAGGGTTGTTTTGGCTGAAGTTCGATTAAATTGCTTTTCTATGAAAAAATTTCCCAAAGGAATATACATAGTCACACTGATCACTTCACCTTAAATTCTTACAACCTATGCTAACAGCTTCTTTCTTCCTGGGGTTTATTTTTAAACCCATGCAGCTAAAAGAGAGCCTTGTCTTCAGACATTTGGTTCAGGAAATGTTATGCCATGTGAAAACTTTCCATTACCTAGCCACGCAAAGAACGTGTTTTCACACTGTGCACGGCTCTCGTTTTATATGCTGCTCGATGTTTCTTCGCATTTAACTAAATTGTTTAGACACAATTTGGAAGTATTAAGTAGCAGAATTGAGCCTGAGCAATATTTTGATTACGAATCTGTAACAACTTTGACAAATTACATTTTATAACTCTACTTTTCTGTTTTAATGACTCTTCTGGAACATACACACCTTGTAAATTTTTCCAGGAGTTTTTCATTTTAAACATAATACTTTTTTAGTCGTTCCACTTAAAATGTGATTTTCTAAATTGTGCCGTAAAGTTTGTTGCATTCTTTCCTCGTCCAAGAGCCAGTCTATAAATGCCTATACTGCAAACTTTCCTTTGGGTGACAATTTAACAATGTAAAGTTATAATTTTGTTTTATGTTTCTATTTACGTGGGCGAATGTTTACATAAAATCATGTTTTTGGCTTTTTTTTTTCCTGGAGTCAATGAGTAAATCTGCAGTACAAAAACAAACAAACAAGCTAACAAACAGAAATACCAACTCCAACAAACAACAAATAAATGATAGTAACAGCTTGTTACATTGTGTTTTTATACCCCACCTCTATAGACGGTAGGCTCGTTTGAGCAGGGTCCTCTTCAACCTATCGTTTCTGTAAGTTTTCTTGTAATTGTCCTATTTATAGTTAAATCCCCCCTCTTATAATATTGTAAAGCGCTACGGAATCTGTTGGTGCTATATAAATGACAATAATAATAATAATAATATCTACACCACAGCAAATGCAAGAGCATCATGAAGGAATTCACAAACATCCGTGAAGCCAATGGTTAAATATTAGTGAACACTATTCTTCCCAGATATCTGAAGCTTGTATTATTATTAATAACATTTACATGTTAAAATAATCTCTAAACTCGTGATATACTTCAAGGGCACCTTGTCATATTAAATAAGGCATGGCGTCACTTTGCAGAGTATACAATTTCATTTGCACGTTGAGCTGTTCATATTCCCAATGCTTGCATAGATTAAACGTTATGACACTGTATAGATTTGACCTACATAGTCTATGGCTTCAGCTTTACGTTAAAGACTTGAATTATGGCCCTAGATTTATTAAAAGTGTAAACACTGTCATCGGTGAAAAAATGTACTCTGGAGAGTCAGAATAGAGATTAATGATTTTGCTAGTATGTCTTGCGGGCTGGCTTATAACTGTAAATTAGCACTTTCAGTGGAGTTTTTCCTTGTGTAAGAGCAATATTTGCATCATACCAGAAAAAAACATTGTGACAAAATGTTTTCACTGTTTACAACCAGAACACTAACAGCATGTTAGAAGAGAGAGTCTCAAACATTTACATATATATTTTTAAAATGTAGATTCCTTTAAACATTTCTATTACCTGGGGAGATCAGGCTAATAGCATTCCCTCTTCCCATGTGCAGGAGATGGGGGTGGAGAGGAGGCTTCAATGGGTAGGGGCATTGTTTCATATAGTGTCAATATTCCCAAAGAAACAAAAATAATATTTCTGTTATGTACTGTAGGTAGATAAAAAAACTATTAAAATACCTTGTTTCTGGGTATTTGTCAGGATGCATTTTCGTACAAATGCCCCCTGAATGTAAAAATAATGTTTGTATATATCTAAAATGCCAAAATAAAGTAAGTACAGTTATGCCAAGTGTCTGTTATACTGTCAGGTAATACTGCAACCCTACACGCAGAGTGTAATACAAAAGTAATGTGTACCGGACTTTAGAATGGAAAATAAACAGGTACAAGCCGAGGTCAGTGGAGCCAGAAATCAAGAACAACAAGGGTACAAAAAAGCTGAGTCAAAAGGTAATAGAATGAAGGGTAGTCAAACAATCCAAAGCCAAAACCAAGAATCCAATACTAGAGTACAATACTCATTGTACAGCGCTACATAATCTGATGGTGCTATATAAATAATAAAATAATAATAATAAAGCGCTATTGGGACTATAAGAACCACAACAGGGCAATGAGTCATGTCCTGAAGTCCTCTTTTATACTGTGTTCCTTTAATTGGTAGCCACGCCCCCAAAACCATCGAATTTGAATGTCTTGGCGGGCCATGGCGTCATCAGCGTCATGATGTCGGCGCGCATACGCGGTGTCATAAAAAGGGGCGGGGCAATCGCAACCGGCGAGAGAATCAATGGAAACCTTAGGAAGACTTCTGGACAGGTCCCCAACCTCTTGCAAAATGACATAAGGGTGTGGCACAGCCTGTGTCCACACATAAGGTACCCTGACAAATACAATTCATGTTTACTGTGAACATAGAATCACTGTAGCATACTGAGTATTCTCTGAGCCCTCCCTGGCTGCTAGAATGAAGCTTTAAAGTTTGACATACCAATGTTGCTTCGGAGTAAGGGAACAAGAATGAGGGAAGTATTACTTTACTGAGAGGGTAGTGGATGCATGGAATAGCCTTCCAGCTGAAGTGGTAGAGGTTAACACAGTAAAGGAGTCTAAGCATCCGTGGGATAGTCATAAGGCTATCCTAACTATAAGATAAGGCCAGGGACTAATGAAAGTATTTAGAAAATTGGGCAGACTAGATGGGCCGAATGGTTCTTATCTGCCGTCACATTCTATGTTTCTAGGTGCTGATTGGCCAAGCCAGTGTTTGGCCCTGTCCCATCCCGCCTCCTTGCCGACTTCAGCCAATCCAATGGGAAAGCATTGGATTGGCTGAAATCATAAATCCTGATGATGTCAGGAAGGAGTCAGATCGAGACAGGCCCGCGTGGCACTGGAAATAAGGTAAGTTTTATTAACTTTAAACGGAGCTATGGTGGGAAGGGGACAAGCCACCTAAATGGTGGTTTTAACACTCTAGGGGCTGGTCTGCCTGGATAATAGGTCTGACGTCAATACAGGTTTGTGATCCTGACACTATAGCGATCCTTTAAAAAACTAACTTTGCATTTGATGGATTTGATTACGAGCCATGACATCATCCACCAACTCCCATCCCATGTTGGTAAGTTAAATAAGTCCAATATTATTTCCCAACTGTTGGAGATGAGGGGTCTGACGATGCTATGGTGGCATGGCCTCAATTTAATATTGTTGAAACAGTTATTTAAATCATTTAATTATTTTTATCCAAAAATATTACATTGTTTATCATAATCGGCTGGCACCATCACCAGTACAACTGGCTTCATATGTGCACTGTAGTACATACTATATTGTAATACTATATGTAATAATACATAAAATAAAAATACAAAATATACAAACAATGAAGAAGAGGCACAGATTTGAATGGATACAAATTAAAGAACATGAAGAAAGCTAAGCACATTCCATAAAATTAACCGCCCTGCTTAATAACAGTAACATTGTATCTGCTCCCTGCAAGGTCTGCCTTCAGTGGGCTGGTCTGTGCAATTGGCAGGCTTACTGACAATCATTAACGCCAGGATGACCTGCTAGGTCTTTGCGGCGATCCTTCCTCATTCTGGGTATGTCCCCCCCTTTATGCGTCGCCAGTGATCTGATTTGGATCACTGGCCTGCCGCCCCCTTTTATTCCCGCCCATTGGCATGCCGATATTGCAGGGTATGCTGAGTTGTGTTTCATGTATTAAATCTGGCATTTTAAAATGAACCTTTCACTGTGATTTGTGTCACCTGCCTTGCAATCTGAGCGATAAATTCTCAGCAAACTTCTGCACACAATCGGCATTGATTATAGTACATATTGTCTGTTTTTATTTTAAAGCAGAGTCTTGGCCTGGTTTTTTTTCCTCCCAGTGTTTCGAACCACTATGGCACTCCATGACATAATTAGGATGGAAAATAAACAGAACGTTGAAAAGTACTCCGGGGAATCTCTGCATTTATTATTAAAGGATATCTATTTCCAGAGGAAGGTCCTTGGGTACAATATAGCTCTGCATTCTTTAAAACAAGGGAGAAAGGCTTCTTAGATTAAAGGTCTACTTTTCATATACCACAAATATATAGGTTCATTAAACTTTATGCTAACACAGAGCTGTTAGCACTTACACGACTCTCTGAATAAGAGCTTGTTTGTGCATTTCATCGTAATTTAACCTCAAGTGGATACTGGAGACTATTTTTCTTTCCCCCAAAGAATAGTTTATTTGTATGTAAGAAATAAAAACACATGGTATGAAAGAAAGCTTAGTCTGAAAACATGGAGTGTCCTTAGCGGTACAGACAATACAATCACATTTAACAAAAAATGCATGTGAGTTTAGCTCACAATTAAAGGAACAATGTAGAAAATACACTTATTAATTGTATATCCATTGCGATCTTGCCAATATTTTAAAGTAATGGACATTTTAGGAATAAGGTAAAATAATTATAGAGTAAAGTTCTACATTTTACTCAGGTGAATCATTATGTACCATTGTGGAGATATTATGTTGGCAACTCATCATCTTGCCACCATCCACCAGTCGTACCAGACTTGCCACCATCCAGCATTATTACCAGCCATGCCAGCATCCATCCGGTATTACCAGCCATGCCATCATGCACCAAACTTACCAGCCATGTCAGCATCCACCAGTATTACCAGCCATGTCCTCATCTACCAGTTTTACCAGCCATTCCAGCATCCACCAGTCTTACCAGCCATGCCACATCTACCAGTCTTACCAGCCTTGCCATCATCCACCAGTATTACCAGCCATGCCACATCTACCAGTCTTACCAGCCATGCCACATTTACCAGTCTTACGAGCCATGCCATCATCCACCAAATTTACCAGCCATTCCAGCATCCACCAGTCTTACCAGCCATGCCATCACCCACCAGTATTATCAACCATGACATCATCCACCAGTCTTACCAGCCATGCCACATCCAGCAGTCTTACCAGCCATGCCATCATCAACCAGTATTACCAACCATGCCATCATTCTCCAGTCTTACCAGCCATGCCACATCTACCAGTATCACCAGCCATGCCATCATCCACCAGTATTACCAGCCATGCCACATCTACCAGTCTTACAAGCCATGCCATCATCCACCAAACTTACTAGCCATTCCAGCATCCACCAGTATAAGTATTACCAACCATGACATCATCCACCAGTCTTACCAGGCATGCCACATCCACCAGTCTTACCAGACTTGCCATCATCCACTGGTATTACCAGCCATGCCATCATCAACCGGTATTACCAATCACGCCATCATTCACCAGTCTTACCAGCCATTCCACATCTACCAGTATCACCATCCATGCCATCATCCACCAGTATTACCAGCCATGCCATCATACACCAGTATCACCAGCCATGACATCATCCACCAGTGTTACCAGCCATGCCAAATCTACCAGTATCACCAGCCATGCCATCATCCACCAGTATTACCAGCCATGCCATCATACACCAAACTTACCAGCCATGCCACATCTACCAGTATCACCAACCATGACATCATCCACCAGTATTACCAGCCATGCCACATCTACCAATCTTACCAGCTGTGCCATCATCCACCAGTATTACCAGCCATGCCACATCTACCAGTCTTACCAGCCTTGCCATCATCCACCAGTCTTACCAGCCTTGCCAGCATCCACCAGTCTTACCAGCTGTGCCATCATGTCTGTGTATTGATGTGAGTTTTTATGACTGCTGGAAACTGTAAGTCTTAGCTAGTTTGTTTGAGGGCTCTACTCAAGGAAGCTTACAATCTAATGGAATTTTGTGTACAGATATATTTGTTAATAAACATCTTCTAAACTACCTAAGCCCTTCTTTTCATTGTGTGTTACAAAGTGAACCAGTAAATCATGTTTTTCTCAAATACTGTAATTTGAATTTAGTTTTTATGTAACATCCCTAATTACTAAAATTAACTGTTCTCAGTGCCTTGTTACTCCAAGTTAAATTAAATGGACTGGATGGAGGCCTCCAATGTGGGTAATATCGGGGTTTCTCAGTTGTTTAGTATCTGGGAGCCCTATATCCACTTTCTGGGTCTCTGTCATAAGGCTCTATTTCACAAAACCTTACAATTCACTGACCGGCACTCTCTGTGAATCCTTCGCGGGAGACCTCTTCTTGGAATAGTTCATACCCCTTTTATTTGCTTTATCGACAATAGTTATTTAGTTATTTGGAACTGACATGTCACTTTTAAGATTTTGTCTTGTGCTAATTTTTATTACTCGTTTCTTACAAGTTAATAGAATGGCACTTATTAGGATGCTCGATACTTTAACCCAGACACCCATCACGTCCTTTTCTGTCATTGAAAATAATACAATATTTGGGGGGGGGAGAAGGGGATGAACTGTGTTGTTTTGGTTTATGTAGTTCAAGAAACATCATATTGATTGAGATTTATAGTGTGTTACCGATAGAATAACAGAATAAATTTAAAGATAAAAAGTAAACATTTTTTGTGAAAAACATTTAGTATAATGATCTACATGAATTAAATGAACATATATGTTTGCATCCGAAATAAGCCAGGAAACGCCTAGCAATAAAAAACGAATCAAAGCGATAAGATCTGTCTGGATAGCTCGGATACAGCGTGTAATTACTTATGGATCTAAAATAAAGATGAGCATTCTGAGAAAAGATAATTCTTTGCTACAGAAAGTTCCGTATCATGTATTTTCAACATTATAACAAAGTATCTTTCATATAAAGCATTTACTAAATATCCCCTGTCATCGTGTAAGTCATTTAGTCTTAAAAATATACAATTTCTTTCACTTTCAGTGTAATTTCCTTGTCTAATGCTTTAGAAATGTATCATTTAAGTTAATGTAGGGTTTCAAGCTGTTAAGTGTCAGCCTGAAAGGTCTCTCCAAGGCTCCTCGTCTTTGGCAAGTTGTCCTCGACAGCTGTTCTCGTTCACTCCAAGATGGGCTTTGGGCAAGATACTTCTGCAGCCATTAATATTTTCTGTCAAGCTAATCTGAAACAGTCTGTCTCCTACTCCCAGCCATTTTCACTAGGATGCTTCTTTTTTTTTTAACTCCTTATGTGAAGTGAAGCGATGCTAAACTCAAGCTCAGATAGTGTCTATGTGGAAATGTAAAACATCTGCCTAAAGCCAACACTGCTATCAGCTCATGTGTAATGCTGCTACCTCAGTTCTTCAATTCACTCTTTCTTATCGTGCTCGAATAAATTATGCCAACTATAATGCTTTGCTTGCAGTTTCCACAAAATAGCATAATCATTAAACTCTAAGCACCATAGCCACTGCATCCTGGTTCAATGGCTATGGTGCTCAGGTACTGTGTGTGCTGTCTCCTGGTTGTGTTTCAAACATGTTTGACACAAATTGAGGGTCCTGCAGGTGCCCACAGCCATTGAATTGCTACTTTGGAGATTCCACTTTATAAATGCCAATCTTCTACAAATTTGGACAGAATTGATTGGATGAGATATTGGTAACATGAAAGAGTTACTTTTGAAGTGCAAATCTGCTGAGTGAGGGGCAGGGTGGTAGGTGCCTGCGGGACCCTTGGCTTGCGTCAAACCACTCACTATCACTGGGCCTCTACCACTAGCAGTAGTGGTTACAAAACTTAGAGTGCACCTTAAATCACTAATTAGTCTGGTGACACTGTGTCTCTCCTTCAGCTTCAAGCTACTCTTCTCAACATTCTCATCATTACTGATCAAGCACATTTGGTGGTCTGCCTTGTTCGAATCAGCAATTGCCTTTATTTTTTTGCATGCTTACAAGACCAGTAGAAGGTGTGACAGCTTAGTGGTGCCAAACAGTGAGGTGTTACATCACATTTTTGTTTTTGGCAACATTCTAAAAGCCATATGGGCTCTGAATGTACTGAGCACACTATGGGCTACAACAGCAGTCTGCAATGCCTTCTATGACGCATACCTACCCAGGACATACTTAAAAACAAGAGAAATCTCAATGTATCCATTCTGTTAAAATATTATAAATAACATAAATTATTGTACTTACTTTATGTATAGTAAGCTCAAATGCACATACTATATTCACATTTTTTTAAGTTATATCCCCAAGTATTCCGTAAGATTGTTTACAAATACCCACATATCACTTTGATCATTTTTATTCATTTTATTCTACATTTTTTTTAGGCTTACTTTAAAAATAAAGTTTACTTTTACCCCAATATTTCTGATTCTGTATTGCATATTGTAAGATGAAACATCCTGCATGATCTCAAAAACATTTTATACCCTTAATATTTCGATATAAAATGAAAAAAAATCAATAAAAAATGTAAATAGTGTAAATGTACATCATTTTATATTTCACGTATCCCTGAAGAACAAAACACACAGTTGCTGGTTTATTCTACATACATGTGCCAGCCATGTTTCCAATAAATGTTATGCTTGTTTTTTAAATTGAAATAATTTTGTAGAAAAGGGATTAAATAAACCCTTCACAAAGGTACCTGTGTTGAGATCAGTTTTTTAAATTTATTTATTTTTTTAGCTTTTTCACAGTGTGAAAAAAGGAATTCGGAGGGATCTGGAGACATTCCAAACACAGAGCTCCACTGAGACAATAATTATAAATTTTTAAGACAAGTAAAGTAATCCAGGAGCAAAGGTCACTAGGATCTCAATGATATATTGTGCTAAAATGTAAAAATTGTTTGGGAAGCCAGGAAAAATGTTCCCTTTAAATGTAAAGTTAAACATATATATTACAAATGTAAAGGCAACTCTGTTACTACAAAAAACAATGGTAAATCGTACGTGAATTAAGAAAGCATCAAATGTCACTTCTTAATTTTGTGTTTGTTCATCCCTATATTTAGCATTGTAACTATTTGTGAGGTGTGAAAAACAAAATTAAGGTAGAAATCCGTACCTTTTTATTCTTTAACTGGGCGCCGCCATCTTAGCTTCCTGTCAATCATTGTGATGAGCTCCGCCCTTTGCACCTGGCAGTCATCATAAAGAAAACATACAGAGAAGATGAGAAATGAAACAATGTTTGTATTCTTTCTCCTCATTTGCATTGTATGCCCTGCCTGTGCCTTGTCTAAACTGGATTATGTCATTTGATACATTTTCAATTGTAATTTGATGTCTTTAATAATAATAGTATCAATTTAAAATAAAAAGGAAAATCCCATGAAAAAGGTTAAAGGGGCACTTAAGCACCATAACAACTTTATCACATTTCATTGTGAAAAGTGAGAGAAAAAGGACGGGCTTTTTAGGGTTAACTCATTTGTTAACGATTTAACAGGTAATCTCCTCACATTATAACACCATTGCATTTAGGTTGTTATGGTGCCTGAAGTGGTCCTTTAACATTTTCAAATGTTTAAATGATTTTAAAAGTTTATACAAAAATATCAACTCAAGGCTTATATTTGATCATTTACATTATGAGGATCTAATCACATTTTCTGAACAATACATTTATTTAAAAAAAGTATATTTTGCATGAAACTTTCCCAATAAATATCATTTTTTAAATTTTGTCCCTAGGATTTTCTATTTAGGAAACAAATGTTCTTATATAATGAGAAAGAATGAATTCTTTGTTTACTTTGAATATTTTCTCAACTGTATAAGAAGTATTCAAACACACACAAAAAATGAAGAAAAACATATATATTTTGTGTTTACCCATGACCCAAACCCAACCTACTGATCTTTAATAGCTTATACTGGCTGCTTATCTGATACAAAATACACATGACAAAATATGTATAGAAGACATGTTTATACTTCGGGGCTAAAATAAACAGAAAAAGTCATAGGACTGATTTATTGTGCTGTTAATAATACTCAAAGAGAGCTGGTCTCAGCAGTTAAAAAGCATCACTGATCTCATTTAACTCAGCTAAGCGGTCTCTGATAAAAGTCTGCATGAGCTATTTTCATTTCATAGCATTTTGATGCCAGCTTTAGATTTCTTTACTAAATTGACCACAGGATTACACATTCCAGACGCAAGTAGCCAAATAAAAACATTTCTCTAGTCGGGCTAAATTGTCAGCTCTGTTTTTTGGCCTAACATTTGAAATTCACAAGTTTACGGTTTAGCCAATAGCGCTTTACAAAATCATTGACACACAAATTGCGTAGAAGGCTAGAGTTAATTTTCCAGTTTGTATTAATTGGATTTCTATATGTGAACCCACCAGATTCACATCACCTTGAACTTATGACTAATGGGTAATTCGCTGAAATGTGACCTGTGGTGAACTACCAAAATGCAAGATTTAGGCCAAAAATGGTCAGTTTAGAAAACCAGTACATTTGGATAGCTTTCGGTTCACCATTTCGTGAACATATATCGTCATATATAGATGGGGGTCTCCAGGTGGTGTTAAGTGGATCTAATCTTAAGAAACAAGGCTGACTGAGCTGAGAGAGGGGAGACACATTGGGTGGCGTGAAATTAATGGCGGAGGAAAACTGAGATCGCAAGCATAGGATGCTGAGATAAGTGGATAGAATAAATCCATATTCCAAATCAAAGTACTCCAATATGGGAAGCAATAGCCGGAGTTGTAATAGAAAAAACAAAAAAAACGCTCCTCTTTAATTATATTCCATAAAAAAATATCAATACATAAAAAATATGTTGCAGATCAGTAGAACAAATGTATCATTACTATTGGCAATTATATAG